TCAATTGTAGCAAGCTAGAAGAAAAAATAATATTGGTCTTTCCTCACTTAGAAGCTATCAGACTAAAACATAATATGCTTCTCAATGTCATATGCTTCATCTACCATCCTTATTTTAATAATTGTGCTTTCTAGAGAAGCATTTTTTTATCCTCCCACTCCAGAATCATCTTCCCCTTAATTCACAGATCACTGGACAATTGGAAATCAAACCAGAAGATTAGTCCTGACTAATGCTCAATTGCTCAAGAGAGCCAATGAGATTCCCTAATTTTATTGGTACTTCTGATTCAACTACTAATGTTTATTTCCATTTCAACAAGCAACTTCTAATGTTTAGCCTATTCTTACCTAAATAAAACAATCCTGTCATTATAGCTACACACATTACACTACTACAAAACAGTAAAAACTAATTACCACCATCCACCAAGAAACATACATCAACTTGACTGATAAACTAAAAAAAGTTACTTCGATGATTACAGATATGTTTAGAAATAAACTCTCAACTAAAAAGCTTTGTTCTCTCCAAAATTGAAGAGCTACAACACAAATTATTTCTAATTATATCATTCCATTTTTCCATTCTCCTAATAATAACGAGTATAAATGAACAAGCTTACAAATCATAACATTCATAAGATCAAACAATAAGTAAAAATCCCTAATCACATGAAATAAAAACATATTAATAATACAAACAACATAATTAAATTTTGATTTCTTGCCCAATTTATTAACCTGGAATGAAAAAATTTGATAGTTTGAATCATTAATTTATAGTTATTATCAATTTTTGTAATGATATATTTTACGGATGTTTCTGCAAGATTCCTGGATATGAGAGTGGGGGAGCTTGCTAAACAAAGAGAGTCAACTGCCTGGGGTTGTTCTCAAGAAAGCCACTCTTGACAATTTAGCCAGTCAATCGTTTAGAGAGAGAAAGTTTGTGTTGACCAGTATTTAAAGAGGAGAATTAGCTCAATGATTAAGGTTCGAATTATGGATCCTGGGCCGCAAAGGCACAATTAGGCCGTATTAGGGTTTCTCAAAATGCATGCTGTGCACGATTCTGGAATGTTCCTGAGTAGGGTTTAGTATTTTATAGAGTTATGCTGGAAGAAGGATATGTCTACATGTTTAATTTTTGGACACACTCTTGCATGCAAAATCAATTTCCAGTCAAAATTGATAATAGCTATAAACTGGTATATACCTCTCCAAAGATGATTTTCGGATTCTCACTGCCCCAAATTTGAGCCATACTTATCAACCTGCAAAACTGTAATGAGCAACAATATTCTAATGTTTAATCTGAGGAAAGCTCCTGTGAAGTATCCTTAAAAAGACTTCCCCTATGAAACCAACAAAATTGAATATAAGTAGACACGTTTCTTGCATCATTTAAGTAACAAAATAAATATGTATGTTATATCAAGGGAGTCACAACTCGAAATTATAATGTTGTACTAACATTTTACACATTTCAGCATTCTCTCACTCGGGCAAATCATTGTTTTTATAATACCCAAGCTATATCTTAAGTATGATTCAGAAAATAGACAGGAAAGAAAGGGCCAAACAAATCTGCATGCTTCACATTTCAGTATTACTTTGGAAGAAACTCTGTTACAATAGCAAGCCATACCTGTGATATATAACATGCTCCCATCAAGAGCAAGACATTTTGGATGTCTCAATTTCCTCCCTATACAAATCTGCAGTGTCATACAATATGAGATTGCTTGTGAGCTCGATTCGAGTTTTGATTAATGAAACAGGAGTAATCACCCAACCATCCTCTACCTCTTTTTTGTAATCTAGTAGAGTCCCTTCATTGTGATCTTTACCATAGAAAACTTTGATAGCAACATTCTGCACAACTTACGACTTGTGTAAAGAAACAGTTCTAATACAGGGACCCTTGTTTTTTTTTTATACTAATACATTAGTTTGAGACTTTCTAGAATTAAAAAGAGTTTACCGATCCATTCCAAAGTCTGTGATATACAAAAACATCAGAACCTGTACAATAGAACCGCAAGTGAATTTTAATAAAATTACGCTAAGGTCTATTGATGTTTGACACTTTAGAGCAAGATTATAAACTATCACTGTACCATCAAAGAATGGATGAGATGTAGAAATAAATATCATTAATGAAATGATCTAGTTACCTTGACCAATCTCCTCACCCAACTGAAGGTCCTCCCATAGAATATCAGAATCAACCAATGAACTTGGCTCACAGTTACCTTCTTGTAGAGCTACCAGGACTTCCAGACAAGTTAACCCCTGAGCCTGAAGAGCTTTTGGCTCCTACTTGACGTGAAGCAGCATCTTCTACTTCTGCGTGCGGCTTTAGGCATTTCCATCCGCATCTTTATCATACATACCTAATGTTGGCATGGCATACTCCAAGTGAAGTAGCCTTTTCTGAATCATAGAATTTCATTTTTTTCATACACAATTGCATTACCAAGAAAAGGGAAAAGTCTGACATCATAAGTAGAGTTATCTGATGTAATATATTTTGAAACTTTGGTAAACATGGCTCATCATCAGTTCTTTTTTCAATAAAAGTCTAGCTGCCTGCATTAATTCAGCATAGGCTACTAATTACAAGACTAATAGTATCAAAATACTTCTACTGACTGCCGGTGCTGTCGTGTTGCAAATAACTAACTTGCCTCAGATTAGGGAGCCGATACTTCGTTGAAAAATGTTGTATGTGCTTCCTTCACCTTTATTTATTTGGACCACATCATTTTGGCTCGTGCAAAGAAAATATTAAATTGTTACGGTATAAAATTTATAGCTTAATACAATCTTTTACTGTATAAAATTAAATAACAAATAAAATATTTAAGGAAAAAAAAAAAGATATAGCAAAGAAACAAAGATTAACAATATGCTTGAACAAAGATTCAATTCCTTAACCTTAGATTCCAAAAGGAGATACTATTACCATGATATCATAACCAACTAAGCTGAGGAGAAATACATAAACTATTGTCGAATAAAACCATAATAAATAAACAATGGGTGCCAGCTTAGACAACACAACAGCCCACGAATTTGGACTATGAGGGCCAGGCCTCCACCCGCCCCTGGTAGTAGATATAAGCATAATAATAGTCGATAAGAACCAAATTAAAGTCAAGCAGATACAAGAAAAGTTTTACTCAAACCAAGCAAACAGCAAATTGACAATCTTGAAATTACAAATGCTGTTACAAGGTTCCCCAACGTCTACCAGAACTTAGTTTGCCGAAGCTTCTGTCCCAGCTGCAGATGATCCTGATCGCGAGCAAACCTCATCTCGTTTTAATCGTAAGATTCTAAAACACGATTCAATATAGAGGAAACCTCTTCAAGCAGATCACCTTTTATTTGAGCTTTACCTTCATCAGAAGATGAAAGACGATGAGCTAATACAGAAGTTATCATGCCATCTTTTCCAAATGCAATGATAGTAGGATATGAACTATTGAAGAACCTTAAGAAAAATTTGTCACTCTTGCCGGAGCCCTTTGTATGACACACTACCCTATCCTTATGTGAGTTAAGAGTAATCTCTAGAATCAGAGTCTTGTAGTGTAGTTATCTCACTTGAAAATTCTCCATCACTCAAGGAAACCATTATAATTTGCACATCATTACACTTGCTGAAACCCTTCACTGCAGCATAAACATCATGATGAATATGAAATGGATAGTCAAAGTAGAGCAGAATCTTCTTCTTCATCTTCCGAAACTCCTGGATTTCTAGTAACTTCAAGAATGACTCTAGGGTGACTTGCCTTAGTTCTTCCGAGATTTTCTGGACAACGCAGTCAAGTCTGAAAGGATATGCATAACCAAACATCTGCATCAGTTCTGCTCCGCGAGGTTCAACAAATAAGCCATTAGGTCCCAAAATGACTATCCTTTCTCCACACTCAAACATATGGTTCAGCATAATGGACGCAGTACTGTTATAGGGTGCAACCCACCAAGGGAGATTCCGCTTTGCTAACACATTGAGAAAATCCTGTTTAGCTGACTGCGGATCATGAGCCGTGTTTATTCCAGGAAAATAAACCAAGACAATCTCCAATTCCTTGCCATTCTGCAAACAGGCTTGTGCAATCTTAGGAAGCATGGGAATCATATGTCCTGAAGTAAAGAGATACAGCCCGACAAGCTTGGATTTGAGTTCTGAAATAGACACATTCTCCTGATGAAATGCCCCATTTCCTAGAGGAATCTTCCTGGAGACAATATCAAAGGTTTTGCAACACAAAAAAGTCCTCGAGAGTTGAGATTCCTCATAGCTTTGGTAGGGACAGTGATAGCACAATCTTGTACGCGTAAGTAACTTTCTTAGAAACAAAGGGAAAAGGGGTGGAGTTTGCCCAATAAATAGGAACGAAGGAAGTAGCATGTATACCGCCGGAAACAGGTGAGTAGAGCAGAACAGTTTGATTGGGGTCAACCATAAAAGTTACATCAGACTGCATCCCACCCAGAGACTTGCACACACGGTGTCGATGAGACTTAGCACGAAACGGGACTGCAAGGCAATTAGGTGGGAACCCGTCTAAGAAAGCAAGGAAGGCATCCTTATCACGAGTCCAACCACGTCTCATCCTGGCAACTATGACCATCTCAAAAACCGCCCTTCAATTTAGAGTAAAGATCATAAGATGCAGCTGCAATACTCCAGGTGGACGAGGAAGAATAACAAACAGGCAAGAAGAAACAGCAAACCATGACAAATTTCCCACTAAGATCCTCCGCTTTAACAACACGACCATCTCTACTAACAAGGTAATCGTTTGGGCGAGAAAACAACAGGGATTCAATATCTACAAACCCCCCGAGCTTGATGTCGCATTTAAATCTATAATTAGCATTACGACATTGATCATAAATAAAGTTTTCCAATTTTTTAGTAGAATCTATAAAATAAAAACAGATAAATATATAAATGGAAAAATGGTAAAAATTCAACTTTTCACCTTTCTTCCCTAACTCATAGGCTCATAACATAGTTGGGATTATTAGATAATAAACTTTAGTTGGAATTATAAGAAGTAATTTTTCCTAAGTTTATAGTATTATTTAGGCTATATATACTACGGAGTATATATATTCACACTTTTTGTATGACTAGGAATTCCGGCGTACGCGATGCGCACTATGGCCAGTGTTTGAAAAGAGCTTTTACAATTGGCCCTAATGTATTTGCATGGTATTTTATTATAATTATTTGCATACAAACAATAAATGTGATAGATGTTATATAATGGTGCAATATTTTTCGAAACTTTCATAGATTTAATTTAGATTTAGTGAGGAAGTGACAAAAATGATCAATTTCTAGAAAAGTAAATGTTTGATATGCTACTATCTTCTTCTTTTTTTTTTTTTTTAGGGATATAAATGTGAAAAGAGTTTTTACTATTGGCCCTAATGTTTGCATTGTATATTATTATACCTATTTGCATATAGCCAATAAATGTGGTAAATGTTGTATAACCGTGTAATATTTTTCGAAACTTTTGTAGAGTTAATTTAGATTTAGTGAAGAAGTGATAAAAATGATCAATTTATAGAAAAGTAAATGTTTGATATGCTACTATATTCTTTTATTGGGATATAAATAGGGACAAATAAGTAAACAAACATTTTTAAGGATATAAACGTCCACACATTATTCATAAGAACTCTCTTATACTTTTTAAAAGGTATGGATAGGGATATAAATGGGAGCAAATAAGTAAACAAACATTTTTAGGAGTATAAACGTCCGCACACTATTCTTAAGAACTCTCTCATACTTATTAAAAGGTAGGTAGGGATTTGAACTCGACACAGAAGCTCACTTAAATAAATTAAGAAATACAGAGTAACAATTTTGCTCTGAATGGTAAAAAAAAAAAAAAAAAAAAAAAAAAAAAAAAAAATATCCATTCCTATGTGAATAGTAAAACCACCCTATCTACACTTCCATCAAACATGGTAAGCTTTGACTAGAGTATACCATAGTTACATAACTAAGTAGCTGCTCAGAGGAAACATAAGGTGCTAGTATTGTGCGCGGGAGCAAGCAAAACTATTGCCTACTAATTTTTACATCAAAAACAAAAAAAAATGATCGCGGTAAGAACTAAGAAAACAACAAGAGGTCCATCAAAATAACAATTTTATGGCACACGAGTTTTCTAAAGCAAGATCTAGCAAAGCCGTATGTGAGGCAGTGAGGGTAGTCTCGTCCTACAATAAATGATAAAAGAAATCAAGATAATTGGTGATACAGGAGCATATGAATCCATAAATTAAGATGTGGAGCAAATTACCATCTTCTTCGGATTTTAATGGTTCATAACAAGGATACGGTCTCGTATATCTGAGAATGACTTGACATCCTTTCCCCATAACCTGCAAATTTACTTCGATATTATGCACTCATATCAAGAGTAGCATCACCATTATCAGTGAAGAACCACCCAAATTTATCATGTGAAAGAATTATTAAGTTCACAGATGATAGATGCTTTAAGAGGCGGGATTCAGGAAACACTGAACAAAGTTATCTTGTTTTGCAGGGATAAGAAAATGGTAAGGCTGTAGTCTTCAACAACTATTTGGATAGACAAATGTAATGCAATGTTTTATATTTTTATATAGCTTTAACTTATATGCTTAAAAAGAAATAGGTTGAGAGTCTTGAGACTAGTAATTTCTAATGATGTTCCCCTTCATCCAATATCCATTATTACCTTAATAGAAAAGAACAAGCCATGCAAGAAAAATACAACAGATCAAACATTAATCTGAGAAGCTAACAATTATTTCGTATGAATCATTTTTCTATGAAACAATTCCACAAGCAAGGCAGCTGAATACATATATAATCAAGATTAACTCACCAACAATCGATTCCAACTGCATTGGCTCCACTCTTGTCAGCCTGTTCGTCATCCCCTACATGAACCGCTTTCTCAGCATCAACACCAATCTGATCTAAAATATTACAAGAAGGTCTAAGTTAGAATCCCTTTCCATGCACATTTACGTAATAATATAGCAAAGTACGCCAATCTAATTCATGGAACTACATGATTGCTGTAGGACCAATGTTCTTCAATCTTCAAGATCCATAATCACTGAAGTAACATTGGAAGTGTCAACTGCAAAGATTTCTCCCCAGGGAATTCTCCCCATATAGTAAACCAAGAGCCTATGTATTTAGATCACATATATCAAGTCATAACTTATAACCAACTTGAAAATGCAGTCAAAGGAAGAACAGTGACAAATTTCTGAAGGTTCATTTGTTCCCACCAATTCTGAAAGTTGAGATCAATCTTCTACCAATTTGAAGAATACACTAGAACAGAGCTACCCCTCTAAGTTCATTCCAGCGTTTCTCAGGCAATTAAATTGTTCACGAAAGAACCAAATGGGGAATGAGATTCCAAGGTTCACTGCTGTAAGGTGGGGCTAAAAAAGCCAACATGACAATGACTCTGCAACATTCTAAATTTGGGCGCTTAATTCATTGCTTCAGAGACGCACACGATATTTATTGACAACAAAATTTTACTAATCTAATAATTTTATGATAGAAATGAATATTAAACTAGTAGGATTAAAAGTACATCACAAAACCCAACAATTAACCATTGATCCACTGGTTTTCTGATTTTTTCTTCATATATTGTGATGAAATGCCAGATTTGGGCCCCCTTATTTTCAGGGGGTCCGTGCAATCGCTCACCCCGTTCACGCTCAGAACTGCCCCTGCTGATGACTCATTGACTAGATATTATATCAGGCAATAGAAAATGAAGGTTGCAATGTGTCAAAGAAGTCCAATGATCTCTAGTTGATTTCTTTTCCATGACATGTGCACCAAAAATAAGGTATATGGCCTACATGCTCAAGCAGGACTTGCAGGGGGGATGGTGAAGACAATAAAACATGCAACATGATTTATCAATTTATGGAAAGGACACAATTTCACTTATGCTTATCACAAACTTCATTGGAGAACCAGATATAAAAGAATAATCATGCTGGCATAGAATACCTAAAGCAGCATTGAATATCCGTGCATCTGGTTTTTCAGATCCAACCTCAGAAGATACCAAGACAGCATGAAACCTATATAAAAATCAGGAAACCCGCTGTCAATATCCAAGTGGGGGGAGTTCAAAAAAAATTCCAGCAGAAGTAGACAAATCCACAACAAAACCAAAGAGGGGAGAGGAATAAAAATATGAATCAAATATCTGATTAACAATTGGCCTGGAGAAACAGCTAGCCTTGCAAAGTAAGTGTAGTTAGAAGCATAGTACGAAAACCAGAGAGAATGGTACATTGCCACATACAAATCTATGACTTCGAGTTCCTTCAATAGCTTCCTTAACCTGGTGTCAAAGTTTGATACAACAGCCAACTTAACTGCAATAAGCATGGTAATGTAAGAGACATAAACAGTTAAGTCAAAAACAAGTTTTTACTCCTTATTTGTAGCAAATTTGAGGAAAATACTTTATGACAATGACCTCCAGCATTCTTAAGGCACAACAATGTCTCTAGGGCCCCATCTGGAAGATGCCAAGCTTGACCATTTGCATAATACTGAGGGGTAAAATTAACTACTGTTAAGATTTGAGATTATATCATCAGATTCAGAAACAATCATAGCTAGTTCTGATGTTTAGGCAAATAACCTCGTAAACTTCATTAAAGTAGCTATCATCAGCACAACCAGTAGCTTCAGAAACAACAAGCTTCCAGAATGGTCTCCCATCACCCTGTGGTGCAAATTGAGAAAATGTATAGCTTGTATAAGCTTTATTTTCAAAAACTCTCTTCAAAGAACAGTTATATGGCATAAAATCATCAGAACACATTTAGCAATGATCCAAGTAAAATTGATAACCTACTTCCAAGATAATATGATGTATGATCATCAATATCTTTTTTAAAGTATTTTTTTCTTATGCAGGCTCTATCATCTATTACCAGTGATAAAATGTGAGCTGGCTGGACAATATTTTTTACAACGTGCAGGCCTGCAAGTGGTTTTGGGACAGGCAGATGGTCAAGCCTACACTCTAAATAACATCTTCAAATCTCTTCTATTAAGTTATCCCATCCACAAACTATTCTGAATTTGTCAAATAATAATACTAATCCCTTGTACAATTAAAAAGAAACCAAAAGAAATATAAGACATCACTGCTAGCTTCACTTCTAGAGAAAAGATCTTAGGAACAACTAGTAGACAATATACAAAAATAAAAATCACACTATCCAACAAATGCTAACATAGTAATAGTCACATAAAATATAAGAATTTCTGTTTTGGATGACCAATAACTACCCAGTAAAAAGCTTATTGTTCCATTGAATATTGGGATTTTTAATGATTTGGATGGAATTGTCTTCAAGTTTACATTTGAAACATTGAAGGAAGAACAGACGCCATTGCTCCCATTAATCATGTGATTATAAGAGCATTTTGCAGATATTCAAGATTCAAGTTTACCTGGTAGCGAAGTTTCTCAGGCCATGGAGCAGAAAAGGCTCTCTTGAATCCTTGCTTTATTTCAGGTGGAGTTGCACTCAACCCTGAACATTGCATCATATCAATTCGTATTATATAATATTGACACATAAAAGACATGAATCATGAAACCGTACTTTCTGATGATCACAAGAAAAGATCCTAAATAAAAAAAAAAAATGGAATAACAACCAAACAGAAGGTAGAAGGGACACTATAAACTAACTCCAGGAAGCTCTTCTTTTTAACCAACTAAATAATCAATGTTTTTATTGAATTTATTTCTTCAGTTCCTCCTGCTATAACCAAGTCAATAATTCAACCCACTTTCTATTTTTTGTACTTGTTCAATTACATGAAACCCTTCAATCTGCTAGAGTACTTCCCTATTCTCTGGAAATTTCCCTCTTACTGTCAGTATTTTATCGTGCTTACATTGACTCTACTTCACATTCTTATAACAGTTTTTAAAAGTCTTAGAAAAGATGTAGTATCATCCATTATGGTGTATGGCCGAAGATACACCATGTGGAGTTGAATGAAATGGTTCTAATTGGTTCTTATTATAGTTGCAAATTTCGATTGTGTATAGTAATAGAAAAATTCCTGATTACAAATCAAAATAATAAGCTTTGTACACCACTTTCTTGTCCTTCATTCCTTCATTTGCTTCCTGTTGTGGATTGAGCTCTCTATATTCATTATACACCAATCTTTCGTACACACAACGAAGTGAATGAACACATGATGAACTATCCACTGAAGTATCTTATTGACATAATAAAACGTGGAATCATTTGTCACATCCGTAACCCCTCATAATTAAGATCATAACATGGTTTCACTTCCAGCAAAATGACCATTTATAAAATTTAAAATCATAATACCCAAGATGATGCTCAATGATGATTTTAATGTGATTCCCTTGTTTAGACACTTGAGTGATGAGTAGAACTGTAGAAGTTTCTCTTAGAAAATTGGATTTAAGGTCTTAAGGATTTGGATTTCCAAAGGAGCAATTCGGATTAAATGAGTTTAGATTTCTTAAGTAGAAAGTGGTGCAACATTAAGCGAACCGTAAGATGAGATTGAGTCGGATTAATGACAAGAGTTGTCTAGTTCTAGTGCATCTCTTGTTGTGAATGATCCAACTCAATTTCGAATTTTCCTCTTACAATTCATTTGATGTTGCACCACTTGTTATTGCCCTCCACTCTCTTCTTTTAGTCTTTACTGCCTTTTCAAGTTCAATGTTCAAGGGAAAAGAGGTAGAGCTCTCTGTCAAATGGCGCCGTGGGAATTGGTGTCCCATCCCTATATTAAAGTGATGGCACATTGTGTAACCTATTCAAGTTATAACTCCTTATTCGAATATGTAACAACTTTTTCCGAACATCAAAAACATTAAAGTGACTCTTATTTCCGGAACAAGAGGGTAGTTTAAAACTATATACAAACAAACCACATTGGAACAATGATTTCCCATCTCATAATCTGAACATAGCTTGTCCATGAAAACAAACAAAACCATAAAAAATACAAAGGTTGAATTTTCACTTACCATATTTCTTTCCAATTCTAGCATAAGTCTGTTCAACAGGCTCTGAAAGCTGCAAAAGTGTACCCCCAGCATCCAACAACAACCCATCATATGCTTTCTTTTTCACTGAATTTCCGTTCTCTGCAAATTCAAAACCCAGTTCAGATTAGTTAATCAAGACTCTAATTAACCCCACAAATTGACAAATTAACATAAAATTAAAATTGGGAAATTGTAAATTGATGATTTTAAAAACCCACCTGTATAATTAGCCATAGCTGAAGATCGAAGGTTAAAAAGAGGAAAGTTGGAGATATTTTTGGGAAGAAGACGATTAAATTTGAGGGAATTATAACTGGAGCATCGGAACAAAGTTGCCTCCATTATAATTATAATGTTGAATGAATAATGTAAGTTACATTAACCAAGGTTGTTGAACCAAAATGAAGGGTTGTGAGAGTAGAAAGAGGAGGATGGAGGAGAAAAGAGAGATATTCATTCCCAAAAAGAAGTATATTAGAAACCAGAGCACCAGCACCTTTGCCTCGTACTCAACCAAGCTAAGGTTGCAATGTCAGCTTCTAAGTTTTAAGGCCACCCAACAGGTGTAAGTAAAGTGTGTTTGTTTCGGGTTTAAAGACAAGGTTAGGGATGTTAACAAGCCGAGTAGAGAATTTTTTATGTTAAAACGGAATGATTAATCAAATTTTATTTAATTTTTATTGTTCAAGTTGGGATATAGTAACTCAAAATTTAAAGAGATTATGAACAAGTGAAGATTATCCCAATGAAATAGGAATATCAAATTTAATCGTGAATATTGTTAGTTTATGTAATTATTCACAATAAGTGTGTCAGGGAGTTGCATAACCCTTTTAAGTACCCTTGAGTGTCAGGGGGTCTATAAACTAATGACGATAATCAATCAAACATGTCCATGGGAAGAAAGGTTGATTCCAGAGATTAGGTTCAAGAGCAATTAATTAGATGTGCTGATACCCTCTGGTGCATTGGTTAAATCTGATGCTATTCTAACTCTTGAACTTTGCAACCATACCTGTGTTCAAATCCTTACAAATAAGTCGTGCAACTATTAAAGAGTTGTGTATATTATACTGTAAATGTGTTTAAATTGCTCAAAAGTAGTTCATAGACTTCATACCTTGTAATACTACTGAAAATGAAACATGAAGATGTGTATAAAAAACAAAAGTTCAGTTCAAATGCAAATCATACATTTCGTTTTCATTTGCTAATGAATATTTACAGCACCAAAAACCCTTAAACTGCTTGTACTTGTTCCCACCTATACATTTATATTTTGAGTACCATACATAAAAGTAAATTGATACTCACCAAAATAATATAAAAAATATAAAATAAAAGATCCAGATCTAAAAATCACACTATTGAGAACCAAATATGAGTATATGACAGTAAGAAATTATTTGAGTATATGATATATCCGAGAATTCCAGGGAACGTTATGTTTTACTGGGACTGTTTTTCTGTTCAGCTATACGTAGCGTTTCTTTTGCCATGGATGAAAATGTTTGAGCGTTATCCTGCATCTCTGTGGTTCTCAAGTTGATACCCTGGATATATCAATAATAATTTCAGTCACATTATTACAGTTAGATCAAAGACTCAAAGAAAGTATACTTGTATACTGCAATTCATAAATCGAGTCTGTGTTGAGAATGAAAATGAAGGTCGAGATTTCAAAACTGAGACTAATAGCAGGCTACTAGGCTAGAACGTCTTGACGTCTAGGGTTTCTCTAATTGTAGCTCTCGTAGTCTCTAGCATAGAATAATGTGAAATTGCCTCGACTTTCAACCAAAGCCATACATGTTTTTTGGCAAATTAGAAGTCTTAGAGCATGGAGTGAGGTACTTTTTGGTTAAAACTCGAAAACATGGTGTCAATTGCCAACTGTTATTTTTACTTTTACAAATTAATAACAGAAAACGTAGCTGTGATACAGTTCTCAGACTCAAAATCATATTTTCTAGAACGTTATTCATGAATAAACATGAAGTTGGATAAGTACATAACAGCCTATACCTGTAATTTCTTCACATTCTCGGTAAGCTTGCTTTCAATCATTTTGGCAACACCACTTGGTTCCTGAAATCAGAAATGTGCATTAGTAATCATCAGATAGATAAGTATACCCTAGCTTCTAAACACTGTTATCTAATACGTTTTATATGCCATCCCAGCATAAATCCCGTGAGATAAGAGAAAGAAAAATAAACGACAATTATGTCTAAATCCACAATCATAAACAATCACTTGTATGCTGATGAGGATCATTAAGTAAACTCACTATAAAGTATAAACTAACACAATTAATTTCAGAAGCACGACACTGCATACTTGACTATGACATATGAGAACTTTTAAAACTTCTATCACGTAGCAGTAAAATTGTGGCACACCTAATACAAAGAGTGGATAATAGATTATTAGTTAAGGAAAAATGATTTCATACGTGGCTCTCAGCTAGCCCAAAAGTATAATATGCTACTTGCTAAATAGCTTTGACTAAAATCATTTAGATCACTTTGATCAAAAGGAGCATTACTTAGATATGATCTGTGAATTAATTCATTTCAAAACAGGAAAATCAGTACATTTTATATATGACAGTTAAACTCTCTTGTCTAGCACCATGCTACACATAAATTGAGGAAAAAAAAGGTTGGACTCTTACATTACTGGTATTAGATGATGAAAATCCATATCTCTTCTTTATTTGATCAACTGTCTCGGCCTTCTCAGATTGAGGCTCTTCATGCACTGAAGGTTTTTCGTTCTTAACTGTCATTTGCTTCAGTTTCCCTGAAAATGGCAGTTTATAATGGGAATAGAATTCATTAGCTACATAAGCACCCCTGCAATTAAATATGCTTAGGTAGTGGGTACTTTTACATTTGGCAGGAAACAAGACAGATGTTTTTTTTTTCAATATGATAATGATACTGGCTGCATATAACTAATTCAAACTACCCAACATGAGAATATAGCTAAAAACTGTGAGGCTATGGAGCCACTACAGCTCAATACACATGATTTTTATGCTAGCCAAAAACCTGCTCACCACAAGAAGTACGTAACATGCACTTGTCATGAAAACTACTGCTTCCATTGGAAATAGAATCACTTAAAAGCCATGTGTATCACACCAGGTGATTTTTATGTTTACTTCGTGTGATAAATTAGGTAATATTCTGTTTATGCGAATATATTTGTAACTATCCTGTGAGTATTAGGTTTCCTCTAGGATTCTTGTAATACAAGGTAATACACAACTCACAACCAGCGTACTACTACATTCTAACATGGTGTCACAGCCCAGAATAAAACCTTAAAATTCCCCTCATTCTTTTCCCTCTAGTCGTACACCAGAACACCACCCTTTCCCAACTCTACCGCCACTTCCACTATGGGCAAGGATGATGAGGTCCCCCCTCTCTTACTCTCTCATCTAACACTTTTCATCCCAATCTAATTAGCAGAATCCAAACCTTCTAAGTAACATTAAAAGATCATTGTGCTGACCTTTAAACGAATTGAACTTGCTCGCAAATTTCTGCTTATTAAGCAATCCCATCACATTGTTCCCTTTTGGCTTGTCATCCTGATCATCAAGATCAATGTCATCTGCAGAAAGATTCAAGTTCCTTTCATGCATAGAAAAGAGACTAATAAAAAGGGCTCTAGAAGGCCCGAGATGGATATGAATGACATTTAACATTTGATCCAAGAAGACAAATACATAAAGCATAGCATGCCTTACCAATGTCCAAATCATCATTGTCTTTTTCAACTGTGACATTAGCAGAAGTTTCCTCTTGAGTAGGAAAATTAGAAACTGCAAAGTTCTTTGAGAGTTCTTCAGAAATTGCTTTCCCATCTGTAACTTCAACATCAGCTCCATGATTTGTTTTACTTCCGGCTACATCTTTGAATAAAGTGCCAAACATCCCCTGTTACATATAAGAAAACAGAGAACATTCAGTCATAACTCATAATACTTCACTGGAAATGGAATCGAGAAGCACTCTGATGATATTACCTTTTTCTTTTGGACTGAAGGTGAAGCTGCTCCATCTTCCATTATTGAAAGATTTTTATCATATACTCGAGAAAGAGAGTCCAAGTGTCTAGTACAATCAAAGGAGCAAGTCAATAAATTACCCCAAAAATCATTATAAAGTCAATCCTCAGTTTGTAAATTTTCTATGCAAATAATCCATTTAATTAGCATTCAGTAATAACTTGTCACTAGACGGAAAAATAAGTACATTAACAAGATAACAGTGGTAATATTCATATTCCTGTCATGAGACTTCTAGCAATAGAATGTATCATATCGTAATTAATAGCTTTCAAACTTAATCAAGATCAATATTCATCTTTCAGTTAACCATTTTAAGGCACGATCTAAGAAAGTAAATCCATTACTATCATTCACCAAAAACTGAAATCATATTGCATTAGTATCACATTGTTCCCTTTTGGCTTGTCATCCTGATCATCAAGATATGTGCATCTCATCACTATCATGTTATCATGCACATTACTATCATTCACCATGAGGATATGTGCATCTTATTATTTTATTTTTTTAAAAAAGTTTATATTGCATTTGGTGGAGAAACAATTGGAATAGCAAGTACATACCTATACTTTCCATTTTGAAGAAACATTGAAGCCAAAGCAACTTCTTGATCACTCCTCATCTGAATCAATTACAAAACCAAGTGGTTGGTATAAACACTAATCGAGAAGCACAAATAAGAGAAAATTTCTAAGCACTATACCATTATAACTTCTCCATCTGCAGAAGAGCATATGAAGTAGTCAGGTAATGTGTTTGGCTTCAAGGGCGAGCATATGAAACTTCTTAGTGTAGTTTCTTTCACAAGAGATAAATCTGGAAGGGACCTACAATTTCATAGGGAAACACTTTAATGACAAATTGACTATAACTTCTACCCTATTTTTTACTGGTACATTTTGCAAGTTAAACATGTTATTTTGCATACACCTAGGAGGCAATAAGCAGATAATCGTCATACGATACATTGACTTGAAAATTTGAGTAATGCACAATTATTAACATTTGAATGCTTGTAGAAATGGCATTGTCCAAAATTTACTACAAATCAATTCAAAGTATTTGAGTTCGATTATAAGTTCCTAATGAAGCCACAAGTCAACCATTAAAACATACTAAGTATTACTTAAAATGGCATCATAACCATTACCATACACAACATATTAAGTATTTAAAAGTACAGAACAATATTATAATATGTTTGTATGAGTAACAATAATCATAATGTTATATTTCGCAGTACTGAAGAGGCAAATCAAGATTTTACCAACCGTATTTCAACTTTTCCACACGAAAAGAATAGTACAAGTCCTGTGCTAGAGGTACTGCAGATTGTAGATGCCCAGTAGCAGGAGGATGAATTGAACTTCTTTTTGTAAAAAACCTTCTTAACCCCTGAACTATGTGTGGTAAGGAATAAATATATACGGCCTTCTCGGAACAAAGCAACAGCTGCTGCTTTTGTGCTGTTTCCTCTGTAGAAGATCCCCGGTTTGGTTCTGCTACATTCATTTGGTTCATTACTCCACTTTAAACTGTTGTAATAATATCTCAAATAAAACCAAATGACAAAAATAAATAAGAGATTTGTGTTACCTAAAGTCTGCATAAACAGAGCTCTGGATGGTTTCTTAGGGTGCACTACACTACTGCTCAGTGTATTTCCAGTATCAGCATCAATTGCCAATAATGATGAATCGTTCGTTGCGATGACCAATACATTCTTTTCGAAACCATGAAGATCAGATGATTCAAAATTCAGAGATATAACATCAGAAG